AGTGTCATCGACAATCAACAGCAAGAAAAAATAAGATTAAGGTAAGTACTTTAATTCTTGTTTTTTATGTTTATTCTTTATATATTATTATAAAAGTAACTAAAATGTAAAAAATAGGAATCTCTTTAGGTTAGTTAAGGTTAGATTAGGTTAAATACATAATAATAATATGACAAAAATGTTTCATGAGGCACACATGCGGGTAGCTCGTCGTTAATGTAATCCAATAGCATAACGTGAGCTCCACTTTTCCAAAGTGATTTACAACTTATAATGGTGTGAATAGTAGTTAGACACAGTTCAAAGGGCAATAAAACAAAAAAATGTAATTATAAATAGACATATACTGTTACGAGTTTAAAGCTACTTAGGATAAACAAACGTAATTTCATGTTACAATTTGAAGTCATTCTAGAAAGAAAAAAGAGTAATTCAGACTTATTTAATTTTTTTTTATGGTTACGAGGTTAGTCAAATTGATCAATGTTGTATAGAGTTAGTGTAGAGAAAATAACAGATAAAATATAGTTTTAATGAAAAGAAACATTAGAAATGTATTTAGGAGGACTTAGAGAATACATGTGATAAAAATACTTTTCTTCAATCTTAACATGAAAATCACTTTGCACATGGACTATTCAGAATAAATACTCTATATATTCACAGACAAATCTCTTTTTAGTTTATAAAAAATGCTTCACTAAAAATATGCTTTTTTGTATGTGAAATTGACCAAGCCCATACTAAGAGAGTTAAGCTATCTGTTTATTGTGTTCCTGAATTTTGACTTGCTTTCATCAGTGTATCTTGGTACACTATCTTGTTATGTAAACATTTAGTTGGGAACCTTGGGAATACAATAATCCATCTTATTTACACATAACCTTTGTAAATATTTTTTGAGTTTCAACAATGAAAACTTTCCAATTATTCATAGTTTGTGATTTTACTTGTTGTTTTTTTTCATAACCAAGACTACCAAACATGAAATTGTCCATACAACACAAAGCTCCAGAGTAATAGAATAATTTAGAATGTATATCCCAAGATGTATCAAAAAACATACTACTATTATTATTATAATTTCAGTACTTTTACAAACTTGTGATTGTGGGATACTGTAAAACTGAATAGGAGCTTACTTACTCTAAAATGTATCTGGAACAACATATGATAATTTACTTTGAAAGTTAGTTATCTTTATTGTAACTTTGTTTTGCTCATAGTCAAAAATTTAAGAATAACAAAACTAGATTGTTACACAAGATAAATGTAGTGTTTAATCAAAGAGTTAATTATTTGTATGTTTTTTTTCAGTGCACTATGAAACACTTCAGCCTGTAGAGGAGATTCAACAGAGTTTTGAAGTGCCTGTTGGATCAGGAATTACTGCAGTTGCTTTGTATGACTATCAAGCTGGTATGTATTATCTAGTTTATTTATATTACTTATGATTTTCCTTTCACAGTTTGAGGAAGGGTTAAAACTGTAGGTATTTTCTCTATTATTTAATGTAGAAAGTATAGAACTGTGAATACATTAATTTACAGAATATTCAAAACTTACAAAAGGTTTAAAATAAGTGTTGTGTAATATTAAATCTTTAAACATTAGGTCAAGAACAGCTTTCTTCTGTTATTTGGATTGTGTAATTCTAAAAAGTAATTCATGCCTATTTATATGGTGTCATTAATGTACCTAATATTACACTAAAACTTTCAGTTAAATATTTCACTTTTATAAATGTTTACATTTGCATATATTTCAACCATTATTATGAGATTTTTTTGACCAGTTATTATGTTATAGTAGTATCCCTTTGTTATAAATTACGTACTAGATGATAATGTTTTGTCTGTGTTTTTACAGCTGATATTGATGAAATATCATTTGATCCAGATGATATCATCACAAACATAGAAATGGTAAGTTTAATTTTGAAATTTGCAATAAATCAACTCAAAAGAAAAAAATATTAATAGAATGATAATACTTTTAAGAATATGTTCAAGACTTTAAGGAAAATTGAAGGGTACTTCCTAAAAATTTAATTTTAAAACGTATGTTATATTACCATTTCGTATACTAGTTGTGGATGAATCTTTTAAGTTTATTCTGATATCCAAAGAGCAAAACAGAAACATCAGGAAAGAGAAAAAAATTTTATTTTGACTCTGTATTTGGTTGTGAAGTTGTACTGGTATTATTTTTATATAAATGGGATACTCCTCCCACACACACACAAAAATTTATTCTGTTCTGACAAAAAAAGGAGAGGGAGAGAAAACACATTTTTCAGGTAATATATTTCAAAATACTATATTGTATTTTGAAATATTTTTGAATGGGGCTTCCCCATTGAAATAGTTAACAAATCAGATTCCATTTTTCTAGAAAGGGGTGGGGAGGAGTGAAATGGGGGTGGATTTTTCTATGCATCCCCCCCCCCCAAAAAAAAAAAACAACAACAAAGACCTGACCTCTGGTATATTGCATTAACCCTCTCTGGACCACAGAAGCATCTCATTTATGTCCCCTTAATTTTTCTTACTTTTCACAGTGGAAATACTTGACCAAATTGCATGAAACTTGGAACAAAGTTCCTAATTACTGTCTAGTTTTCACT